GGTATTGAAAGATTTGGTCTCACTCATTACATGGCCCAATTTCGAATTTAAGACCAAGCCTTTTCAATTCCCTTTCTCTTTTTGTTTTCTTTTCTTTCTTTAATCAATTTAAAAAAATCTAAATTACATTCCTAAATTAATTCAAATTGCGAAATTAAGCTAATTATCTAACTATAAAATTTATAAAAATTAGTTGATCCTAAATTAGAAGAGAAAAATTAGTAATCCAAAATTTAAAAGCTAAGAATGTAAAAGTGAGCCATTTTTGTGATTTTCATTTTAAATAAAGCAATTAATTAATTAATTAATCCTAAAATGTGAACACAAAATCTAAATGCAATACATGATATTTTTGGTATTTTTTATAATTTTAATAAAAGTAAACATGCAAAGAAATGCAAACAATTAACAAAAATCCTATAAAATTGCAAACAATTGGAGAAAAATCTATTTCTTTAATTTCTAGGAGTATTTCACGTAGGGCAAAAATCACGTGCTCACAGCTGCCCCTCTTTACTCGGAAACACGAAGAGTTTTCTGGCAAAGATAAAGTGAGCAAATACGAGCGATTTTTGCCCATTTGGATACTTTGTGGGAAGCATTTTTGAAAGATCTGATCGAACCTTGCTTCTAAGGTTGCCTACATATCCTTGACTATAAAGGAATCAGGTCAGTGTAGTTCGGGAAAGGAACAATGATGGAGTATACTGAGGTGGAAAGCCGGTCGATGTGCCGTTCCGTTGAGGTTCCGGTCCGCGGTCTTGATGTTACATCAAAATCAAAAAATGAAAAAGACTAACTAAGCCTGTCAACTATGAATTACAAGATTCCTATCTATAAGTCTTCTGAAGCTTGATCTTGAGTCTTGAATGGTTCTTCATGCAGACTTTGGATTTGAACCTTGACGCTTGCTAGTTGCAAGTGCTAGTTCATTCTTCTTCGGCTTTTCGGATCAAAATCGAACACACCATTCTTGTGACTTCAATCATGTCTTGAGCAACTCACATCTTTCATCAACTTCTGCATTTGGATTCACTTCTTGCCTTTTTTTTTTATTCTGGATTGTGACTAACTTCTGTTGATCATCTCGGACTGTTGACTCGCATTCTTGCCACGAGCTTCTTTTGTTGCTGACTTGAATTGCATTCTGAAGTAAATTCCCTTATTCTCCAGGTGGCGCCTGATTGCCAACATTTGAACTGTATTATCTTATTCTCCAGGTGGACGCTTGATTACCAAAACTTGAATTGTATTCCCTTTGTTACCTTAAATTGTTTTCCCTCAAAACTTGTGTTGTCTTCCTTTGAAACTTGAACTGCTTACCTTGTACTCCAGGTGGGTTCCTGATTGCCAAAACTTTAATTGTATTCCCTTGCTCTCCAGGCGGGCGCTTGATTTACAAAACTTTAAGTATTCCCTTGCTCTCCAGGTGGGCGCCTGATTGCCAAACTTTAACTGCATACCCTTGCTCTCCAGGTGAGCGCTTGATTACCAAGACTTTAACTGTATTCAATTGCTCTCCAGGTGAGCGCCTGATTGCCAAGACTTTAACTGTATTCCCTTGCTCTCCATGTGGGCACCTGATTGCCAAATTTTTAATTGTATTCCCTTGCTCTTCAGGTG